TACAATTATATGAATAAAAAATTAATTTTTAAGTAATAAAATTAAGCTAATTTTAAAAATTCTGTCATCAGAATTTAGCAATTTTCACCCATGATTACAAGCAATCAGCATCATTTTTTTTCTGAATAGAATAATTTCCAAATAGCAAACAATATGTAGTTTACTTTTAATGATAATGAAAAAATTTTTTAATGAAATTAGTGGGAATATGCTATATCATCGAAATAAATTGTATTTGCACAGGAGCATTTTAATAATTAATAGTGGTTATTTGTGTGATAGAAAAGCAAAAAGCAAATAGTTGTTGAATAAATATTTTCAAGAATGACAACTCAAGATTAGAATAACTGAGCAGATGCATTTATTAAAGCTACGCGTACTTTGTACGAAGTGGAATANATTAATTTTCATTATTATTGTAATGAAATTATGCTTCAATTATATGAATAAAAAATTAATTTTTAAGTAATAAAATTAAGCTAATTTTAAAAATTCTGTCATCAGAACTTAGCAATTTTCACCCATGATTACAAGCAATCAGCATCATTTTTTTCTGAACAGAATAGTTTCTAAATAGCAAACAATATGTAGTTTTCTTTTAATGATAAAGAAAAATTTTTAAATGAAATTAGTGGGAATATGCTATTTCATGGAAATAAATTGTATTTGCACGGGAGCATTTTAATAATTAATAGTGGTTATTAGTGTGCTAGAAAAGCAAAAAGCAATTAGTTGTTGATTAAATATTTTTAAGAATAACTACCAAGATTAGAATAACTAAGCAGATACATTTATTAAAGCTACGCGTTCTTTGTACTAAGTGTAATACAGTAATCGATTAATATATCAGTACCCAACGACATTGACGTAGTTTTGAGGGACAAAACCCCCTCCGAAATTTTTATACATATATATATATACGATTTATTATCAAAATTAAATTTAGCGACTATAATAGTTAAATTTTTCACTTTCTTTTTAAACAAATTAGTACTATTCACCGTTAATCTTTCTTTTTTCAGTACAGAACTTTTTTATTTCAATTTGTTCATAGAATTAAAATTAATTAACTCTTATTGGAGTTAATAAGAGTATAGTAATTTTTCAAGATTAGTTGAAAAGAATAGTTACTGTTCTCCATTAATTTTGCTCTATAGAAGACAGCTATTTTTTTTAATTAAATTAGTATCTAATAACAGATTTAATCAAGCTTCATTAGCATTAATAAGAGTATTACAAACTGTTATGCTGCACCTTCATGAATTACTACTAATTAAATACTTGATTTTTTATTTTAATTACTGTTGATTTTAAATTATTTTGTTTTATAGATTCACATTTTAAAAGCATAACTCTAAACAGAATAATAACGTGGTAAAATAATAACAAACAAAGATATTCTTAAAGCATGCGTGCAAACTAATGAAATGACAACAAAAAGACCGAAGTAATTATAAGAAAAAAATAAGAAATATTAAAGAATAAATAGAAATATTAAAGGAATTCAAATATTATATTATTAAATAAGATCGTAAAAGATAGATAATCGTATTAACGATATCGTCTGTTCAATGTATTATAAAAATATAAACAGAGAATGACGTCGCTTCAAACTATTTCCCAAGGAATCCAGATATTCCTAATTATAACTTTTCAAACTACTAATTTATTACCTTTGCTACACAAGGAAAATACTAAACTTATTCGAGCATAGCTCTTTTTGACTTCTCAGGAAATTTTATTTTTATATTTAATGCACTAGCAAGATTTTTACAATGATACTTGAGTCTTGTTTTTATAAACTTAAAATAAAATGTTTCGATTATCGTTACATCATACATATAGGGGCCAAGCTAATTATTTTATTTCTTTTCAAGTGTTGGCTAAATGTCAATAAAATATCGTTTGACAATGTCGCTTTTTATCGTAATTTCTGTAATACAAGAGAAAAACTTTCCTGGAAGAGCTTAAAAATTGGCCGATTCAGTGTCAGCTGATCGTTTAAAAGCAAAATGGCGTATTAAAGTTGATCTAAGTCTCGCCGCATGAGTTAGAATGTTAATTAAATACAGTATCGTATCGCGCATCAAATTTGTTGAAATAAAATTCTTTCTCGTGTACGTCTTTTACTTAACTGATATTTATTATTTGTTTATGTATTTTATTGTAACTGAGATATATTTTTGTTTTGTGTACCTGGCAACTTCGATACAGAATTAATTTCTTTATGTTCTACATGGCGTCGTGTCTGTCTTTGTATTAAGTGAGAAATACATAGCGAATACATATAGAGAGTATATATAGTGAATAAGTGAGAAATATGTTGTTGTTGCTTATCCTCACTGCCTGACGGAGTCAGACAAGATCCACGAGTTCGTTGACTGAAAAGAAAGTGAGTAATATATAGTGAACAGGGGTCTGTTTAGAAGAAATTTGGGTCCATTAACGGACCCTTCACAATATATCTTTTCATAAAAACGGACCCTTCGCAAAATATTTTAACTTAAAAACGGACCCTTCGCAAAATGATTTTTCTTTTAATCGGACCCTTCACAAATTTGTTTATCTTCATTATTATTTTGTTAATCGAATAAACCCTTTCCAGGGCAGAGAACAAGAAAGATGGATCTAAACGAATTAAGTTTTGTCTTCGGCAGATGATTCTTCCATTATTCGTCCGAAATGAATATTCTGCGTTCAGCAGTATAGGCTAAATACCAAATATTTGTATGTTGCATCTCTAATTTAGAAGCAGCAATTGTTGTTTATTTTTTAAAAT